GCAATAACCTTAAAGCTATCATTACATTCTTCTTGGAAGCTTACTCTACTTTTCTGTCAAAAACATGAGCACCGTATCCAGACGCAGGTTTGACGGTGGAAAGCTATGATCAAATATTAATGATTAACCAGATGATTGTGCTTATGTAGTCCTCTTTTGAACGAGTCACTTGGTGAGGCGGCAACTAGTTCTTCTGGAAGTCAATTCTAAAAGTTGCCTACTCGACGCAGGGATTAGTACAATACTCAGACTAAGCTCGTTCCTTGTTTCCGTACTCCGTTTCTATGTACTTCAAGTTGTTCCCACGTGTTAGGAAAGAAAAAAGAAGGCAGCTCAACTCCACAGCCACTTCTTGTACATCATGATAAGATCGTCCCTACGTATGCGACAGGATTAGGAAAATAGGTTAAGTTCAAGAAGTCGGCCGTCGTAAGTCAGATCTGGTTCCCGTTGCAAATAAAGATTTACCAATTGTGTACAGCCTTCTAGTGCAAACCTAAGGATATGCTCAAGGTGACGAACATGTCACCACCTATTTTTGCTAACGTTCTGCTTAATTCCCGAACTGTCCTTAAACTCAAAGCTGTGGCCTTCAAATCACAATTAACTGTGGCTCCTAGATCACTGTAGGTTAGTATTGAGGGTATACGAGTCCTACCAGTATCGTAGGTGTAGCCGTCTGTATGCCCCATATACATCCTGAAACACTCACCTGCATTGATAAGCATCAGAAATTGATCTGGTCAGATTAACAAACTGTTTAGGTCTGATTGCAGTGTACGTACCCTGTCGTCATCCCCAATTTCTCATCAGATATCTCCATTGTCAGAGTAGAGAATCATGAAGTATTTCGCGGTACTCGATGGTTCATTCACCTACAGGAGACCCAGGACTCCGCTTTGCAGCACCTTACTTAGCACTGACTTCAGAAAAGAGGGATGAGAAGTGACTTTTACACCTTGTCTTCTACCAACAACGGACTGTCTGATCTATGCAAGCGGATAGACAGATTCTGAAACTTCCAGTTCCGTGAACAATCTGGGGTGAGGTACTTCGTCGAACACCTTGCTGAAGTCAACGAAAATGGCATCTACAACTATCCTATCATCCTTAGACTTAACCCAACTTTCTCTGACTGTCAAAGGGTTTGTCACATATGAGAAACCTCTACGAAAGCCACGTTGAGGAAGTGATAATGGAGTGTCGTCCTCCAGATCGACCGTAATAGCTCTCTCGGTTACTCTTTCCAGGATACAATACAATACTAGTCATGCTTATTGGTCTCTAATTCGACGGGTGCTCCCTAGATCCTACCTTGTGGATAGATATGACTAAGATACCCTTCCAGTTATAGGGGAACGTGCGTTTTTTGAGGGACGATTTGATACAGTCAGTTAGCCAGCTTTGTATGGTGCAAACTCTGGGCAGCCTGGGTGAAGCTCATCTGCACCCGTTGATTTTTCTATATCTACAGTAACTTAAGTCCTAAATGCATCGTAGCAAATGATGTCCACAGAGTTTATTCTGTCACAAGTCACTGCTTCTACAACTGAATTCATGTCTATCGAAGGTTCCTGCTTGAAGGCCTCGGCAGAATACCCGCTCATAACCTCTGCTTTATCCCTATCTTCTTCAGTTAATCAGTTTGCTTTGTCTGTCCGATTCACGCAGCGATCCTAAGACACGCTTTATTCTTATGGTTCACACAACGAAATAATCAATCTGAGTGTGGTACCGCAGTGAGGGCTACAAATGTTCCCAAGCATATTCAGAACCAGCGAATAGAAGCGACGCGACTGTTCCTCGTAATGTCTCTTCTCATCTGGAGAAACGATGTGAGTGTCAAGACTCTAGTCCTTCTCCTTGCGTTGTAGCAGACTTCGTATCTTGCGCTCTATCCACAGAAGAGAATGTTCTCACCCCTTCACGACAGTTCACGGAATGAGTAACTGGGACACTTGTATATGCAACTGTTTGAAGGGGCACTACACGACATCAATTAGGGCTTCTGAATTGACTGTCCAGTCCTCCGAAGAGGTGGTCAAGTTACTAACTGCTATGCTCACTTTCTGCACATTATGTCTAGCTGGAATGACGACCTGGTACAAGAGGATTGCTGTGAATCTGAAATTGATCACTTTACTAATGAGTGTAAGTTGTCGGATGAATGTCACATCATCTGTGTGAAAGGATACTAAGTCTGGAACTGATGGAGCATGCTGATGATCGTGTGAGGTTGCCGTCCCTTAGTGCTGTATAAGATCCTAGGAGATTGATGCTCCAAGTAACCTATGATCCAACGGATTACGTGGTGCTTGTTGTTTGACTGTCGCAGTAAACTGTTAGTGCACTGAAGTTGCCAGAAACTAGGCACATACATGAATCTATCCAGAGAGTCAATTTTTTTCAGAGGGTCTTCTGCTCCACATTCAGGGTTTCAACATATTATGACTAGGCCAACATGTTTTCCCTTGCGTTTTACTCGGCAATGCAACATTTCATATGTCCTACTTTCGTGTGTGCCTCTTAAAACTAAAGTATTCTTTATAGAAAGAATGATTCAATTACGTCTGCGTGCTTATCCATAACTTCTGATCTCAAAAGAGAGTCACGTTTCTGAGGTAGTAAAGATATCAGGGCTATGTACGCTCATTGTATAACTAAACTCGGTCAATTTGTTGACGAGATTGCGTCCATTCGAAACGATAAAAACCACCTAAATGGGTCTTTATCCCATCAATAGGTTCTTCGGTGTGATTTTTTCTGGAGCCTCACTACACGAAAGCTCACTCTGTCCTCTACTGCTAATCGGAAATTCCGTTCTTCCTTTGTTAGTTGATTATTTTTAATCCCATAGAGATCTGGATATCGCATTACATCGAGCAAGTTGTCATTCTGTCTCGGTTGACAGTTGTATGGCATCATGAGAATTGATAGTTCCCTTATTCTTCCACTAACTCAGTACATTCAGATGGAGGAATATAGGTTTCTTCTCGCGATTATCAAGTATACCTGTTTTTGCTTTTCTCATTTCGACTTTGTCTATAAATATCTTAAGATAACCATTTCCTCCCAGACACCTTTCGATGAACCGAATTTCTTCAGTCAGTTTGCCTGATAAACAAATTTTCTTAGCTCTTTCAAATGGTATTTGAAGTAGTCCTTCCTTATAACTCATGCAATAGGAACTAGTAAAATGGAGATACTGTCGACTTCTTGTTTTTTGTTCTGTAGACATCTCTGACACAATCCATCTCTTCTCCATCCAAGTCCCTAGTCCAAAAAAAAATTTAGTGTTTGATGTTCCTATGGTAAACTTTACATTCATATGCCGCTTATTTTTTGATTAGTCAAATGTGGCAAAATGATAGTCTCACTATATAAACATAAGATAACTTCGAGTTTAGTGACCGCAACAAATTATTTTGTTTCAACTTCCGTAATCTGTAACTATTCTGTCATTGTCTCTCATCGGTAGACTCTCAACTTCTTGATAAGTTAATTATGTGGATTGAAATTATATATAAATATCTTATGAGTTTATAGCGTGTATGCATTTTCTGACTGGTGTTATCTCTGCCGCCATCTGGAGAGATATCCAGTCGGCTATTACACGATAATCACACAGAGATGCAGTTCGTTCTGTCCAGTTTTACGACTGTCAGATATGACCAGTAAAACTGGAAGATGTGAAGCGGTTACAGGCCTTTGAGTATACATGTCTTCGTAACATTGCCAGTGTATAGTGGAACCATAACATCAGTAACTTTGGAGCTAGGAGCAGAGTGTTATGCAAGACAGGCAAGTTATTCGATGATGTTGTAACCTTTAGAGACTGAGATGGCTCGGATATATGTTGTTCATGTCAAGTCACCACCCACCTCGATGTGCAATGCTAGCAGCTCAGGGTGGTCAAACTAAGACATGCTAGAAGTTGGTCAAATCTCCACGTTTTGGTCCCAGCCATATTAGGTGTAAACTACCTGAGAAATCGGTGTGTTCAGGATTCCTGGTGAAATGGCTGAAAATCCATCACAACAACGCAGATGTATGTACTCATTGATGTCGTCTTGTGAACATTGAATGTATGAAGAAGCCTCCATTTTTATACTCCCAATCCTATCCACCTTTAACCCATTTAATATCAGTCCTTTCAGATATGTGTTTGGCAGATGCTGCTCGGAAATGTGGTAACTTGTATACAAGGCACTACACTGATTTCCTCTGTATTTGTTACAATTGGCTTATTGTTCACAACACCATAATTCTTAATAACAGAAGTCTAATCACTCTTACGCTTGATAACAGCATATTCTTTACCATATGGTAGAAAAGTTTTCAGGATCAATCAACGGTCAAAGCTGTAGTGGCAATCTAGATGAAGTGGTTTCTACATTTCCAACTGATGGATTCAATTACTTAGACTAGAGGAGGTTCAGTATTGATATACTACAAATAAATTCTTCATTGCCTTTATTAAGCAATCAAAGTTAAAATACCATATACACTACAGTATCGTTGTATTATGTATCTTGATTGATAAGGCTCATTACCGATCAGTGAACCATAACTTAGATCCTATCCCAGTTCGTTCAAGTGAGAATTATACTTGCTTAAATGAAAATCAATAAATGGTAAAAATCTTTATTTCAAGTTGTTATTCATCGTAGACTGACATCAGTTAGAGGAACAAAAGAAACCTGGAAGCACTGGACAGCTGTTTCGTCCTAATATGGGACTCCTCAGCAGTGCGCACCCACGAAACAGCTGTCCAGTGGCTCCCAGGTTTCCTTTGTTCCTCCAACTGATGTCAGTCTACGATGAATAACAACTTGAAATATTTCCAAATCTCCACAACCCCCCCTCAAAAAAAAAATCTTTATCATGGAAAAATTCATGGGATCTATATAGAAAAAAAAATATATGTAGAATATAAAATAATAATCTAGTTGAAATATGTATATAAATGCAATGGAAGGTTTATTAAAGAATTCAATGAATTAGTCTAGTTTCATCCAATCAATTGGTTGAATTTTATGCTGTTTTAAATATTCATTTGCTTTAACAAAATGATCACAACCAAAAAATCCACGATTAGCTGATAAAGGTGATGGATGTGGAGCATTCAATACTAAATGACGATTATGATCAATTGATTGACCTTGTTTCTGAGCATTAGCACCCCATAGCATAAAAACTAGATTCTTTGAATTATTTTATAGAAAAAAAAACAACTCAAGTGAATAAGTATATTGTACCAGTAGTGAGAATAGTAATCTCTTAACAAAATTATATATGAAAATAATGAAACTAGTATTAGGATAAACACATATTATTCAAAGAGTAATTCAGAACAATAACGATTTCTAGACCGCCTCACCGTTTCGTTGTCCAGCTCTACTGTTCAATTTAAGTACATCCTATGTACTTGTTAAGTCGTCGGCTCACCTTTCTTCTCTTCTTTTTTTCTTTTCCAGATTCTCTTGGTCACCAACCAAATTCACACTGCTATGCCCCCTCCCCCCTACAACAACATACCTATCTACAGGCTACATGAAAACTTCCATATTAAATTTGTTTATTTGATATAAAGAGCACAGTAATACAGTATTATTTACTTGATTACGTTTCGAGCATAAATTATTACTACTCATAATCATATCAATGTAATCACACACAAGTTTCGATATCTGATTTTATAGTCCTGTCACCTGATCTCTGTTTATGGTTTTTTGATTGGTAGTAAAGTTTTCCATATCTCTGGTATAGGTGTTGCGTCATTCCTATTGCACATGTGTTGGGTGTGGATTCGATGAATAAAGATTCAGTAATTAATGAATATTATGTTCAGTGATGTATTTATCATTTCTTGGTGGTTTAACAAATAATACTGACAGTATAGCCGGATAACCGACAAAATAATCAAAAAACCAGAAAGGCAAAGTACGTTTACGAAAGAAAACATGTCTTAGAATAAATAAAGAAAACACCCAACAATTATGTTCTCCGAAAATAGTGGTTTCTAAATTCAACTCGAAGTACTGAATCTATGGAAATAACAAAGAGCAATCCAATTCACTTACGAAAGTAGAAAATGAACAAGGAGAATTACCTATGTTGGACTGCAGAATAAAACGAAGGATAGATGGTGGTTTAGATACTACCGTCTACAGAAAACCAACACATTCTAACAGGTATCTAGACTTCAAGTCATCTCATCCAGTGTCAGTTAAAGCGGGTTTAGTCAAATGTCTAAATAACAGAGCTGAGAAACTCACTAGTCATTGTAAGGATTTAAAAAAGGAATTGAAACACATAAAAGAAGCGTTAATAACTAATAATTATCCCCATCATTTTATTAAGAAATTCACACGGACACATAAGAAGTAAAACAGTAACACTAATACAAATACAAATAATAGTGACAACATGAGGAGAAAGGAAATCAACACCTCTATTGTGATAGCATACAAGGAAGGAACATCAGAAACCATATGTAGGATTGATTCTCAACAAGGTTGGAATCAGGGTGGCATTTAAACCAACAAACTCACTTAGAGGTAAGCTTTGTCGGTTAAAAGATCCGATAGAACCAATTAGACAAAATAATATACTCTACCAAATTCCATGTAATGACTGTGAGGTGAAATACATAGGTCAAACTAGCCGGTCGGGATCAGTTAGATTAACAGAACATAGGAATTTAGCTAAACATAGAACGACAGACCCCAATAAGATCAATAACGTAGAAAAACACTCAGCCATTGCATTACATTCATTAACACACAACCACACAATAGGGTGGGACAAAACCACTGTACTTAAGTCTAATATAGCTAGGTGGAGAGAGAGATTAATTACTGAATCTTTGTTCATCCAATCCACACCCAACACATGTGGGATAGGAATGACGCAACACCCATACCAGAGATATGGAGAACTTTACTACCAATCAAAAAACAAAGAGAGATCAGGTGACAGGACTATAAAATCAGATATCGAAACTTGTGTGTGATTACATTGATATGATTATGAGTAGTAATAATTTATGCTCGAAATGTAATCAAGTAAATAATACTATATCACTGTGCTCTTTATATCAAATAAACAAATCTAATATGGAATTACATTCTACCACAGTGCCCAAGTTTTTCACTTATATACATGAAAACTTGTCAACAACTGATCGTTACACAAACTATAATAAAGTTGTTATATGAAGCCATTTCAACTTCAATGATTTGCGTGTTACCAGTACTTCAGATCATTGCATTTCTTGAAATATACAACAACCATATTTCAGCTAAACTTGTCTGCTTTACATCAATTCACGTACTGATGTATACATTTTATTTGAAAACTGTCAGACCTGTCAACAATTATTTCACAGCCAATTCGATTCAAGTATATGGAAGACGAGATAAACTTAGGTAACAATAAAGATACCAGTTGCTAGAAAAGGTTTCATCAACTACAAACTGATTATATCAAAATAATTTCCATAGAAAAATTTTGAAATACAGTCACAATGAATGATGGAGGACATTCTCTCTCTTTTTGATCAAACCATGAATGCTGTGCTAATATTTTCGAGTAGTCTAAAACTATCCGCCTGATGTTTTCTTCAAATCTGACTATTCGTTAACGGCATCAGCAATCATATATCTTCAACAATTGTGTATTGTTGTCGGATTGTAAAACCCAACCCACTGCTGCAGCCTGAATATCAATGAATAAATAGTCATTTCGAATTGTTTACCAGGATGATACATATAACAGATCTATTAATTTCAGAATATTGAAAGCGATCAACAAGCTCTAATTGAAGTTTTATGTTTGCAGCAGTGAATACTAAATCTGTTCTCTCTGCAACAATACCAAAAAGTTCAAACCTATATAGGTATGCATTGAAGTTAGAAGCGTTACTGGTCAACTATTACCTTTCTACACGAAAATCGCCTGTTAAAACATTAAATACTCTCAATACATAACTATTGGTTCTTACCGAACGTTTTTTATTCAAGTAACGAATAGCTGCATCTGTTAGGAACTCCCATCCTTTATCTTTATGAGAATTGGGGGCTGAAGCGCGTACTGTTAATACAGCATTCAACAAAAGTACACCTTGCTTTGCCCAACCAGTTAAATCACCATGTTTCGGTGGCCAGTTCTCACAATCCACTAAATTCATACTTGAACTTATCTCCTTATACATATTGACAAGACTGGGTGGTGCAGGTACAGGTCGACATACTGAAAAGGCTAAACCATGTGCCTGTTTCGGTCCATGATATGGATCTTGTCCTAAGATTACAACTCGTATATCTTCTGGTAAGCATAATTTGGTCCATGAGAAAATCTGAACAAAAGAATTAATACAGAAATGATTTATGCATAGCAGTGAAGTAATAGTAATCGACAGTCATCTGAAAATTATCAAATCGGTACCAATGATTCAAAGGCAGATTGCAACTGGCTAATGTGATTGGACACATGAATGAAAGATCCCGATAGGCAACAGGAATAAATGAAACATTCCACACACCAACAAACAACACATTAAATAGTATTGTTACTTGTGTTATACCATCGTTGATTGGACAGAATTGATCAGTCTCTATTAGCATATGGGCTCCTGTGGAGATGCCTCGACATTATATGTGTTTTAATCAACCACAATAATAAAACTATACCCATCGCACAAGAAGTGGCTATCGTGGCTCGATGGTGTAGTGGATAACGTTCTAGCGTTTGAAGAGATCGCTCTCGAGTTTGAACCCACTCACTGGGAGGCAGTTACATCCAGCTGACCAGTGAGTCCCATATAGGATGAAATGTGTATCCTGGATTCCACTGTAAGCCATTGATACATTAAATAGACTGGATCATCGAAATAAAAATACTGAACAATCTCCATCGCCTTCTGGACTAATTTGATCAGTACCCCTAATTCAAAGAGATCGATTTCATATCATTAAACTGTTTCCACTGCCAATTATTATACAACTAACTTATAATAACAATAAACTGTGAATACTTTTACACTGCAAAAATGATTTCAATGTGCTTTGATTTAGTAAGCAACATGTTAAGTTCACGAAAATGTGAAATATTCCAATATATGATTACATTAGAAGTTAATTTCATACAATTTGTTCTGTTTTATAAATTTTTGAAAAGGAGAAACAACACAAATAGTGTAGAATAAATCAAATTTCAATGAGTACTCACTCCTCTTGGTCCTATATTCACAGACATATTTCTAGGTTTCTTAGAGAATACCAAAATTCTATTTCATCATGAAGTTTATGCAGTGAACCCTACCTCAGATCTTTCAATTCAGTTCATTCTCATTATTATTATTTTATTATTAGTCCCTTGGGTTCCTAATGGAACATAGGGTTTCACTAGCACGTCTCCAGTGAACTCTGTTCTCTGAAATCTTTTCAACCTGGTTCCACGACAGTCCACAATCTCTCATTTCCTCCTCACACGACCTCCTCCATGTCATCCTCACCTAGGACGTCCAACTCGTCGCTTGCCATAGGGATTCCACTCGAGTGACTGGCCTGACGCGTGATGTCCTCAGTCGGCCTTCTCAGTGCATGCCCAATCCATCTACACCTCCTCCTTCTGCATATTTGTTAGGTGATAGGTTGTTGGCTTGTTCGTTGGCAGCCAGCCAGAGTTCCTTGTTGCTTATTGTAATTATTCTGACCATCTGAGCTTCAGTAGCGAGCCAGTGTAGGCGGCAGTTGTTGATGAATGTCTGTAGTTTATTGGAAATCCCTTTCGTAACGCGACAAGTCTCTCAACCATCACACAGAAGCACTGACTTGACTGACTTAGTGTTGAAAACCCGGATCTTGTTCCGCATGCTGAGTGCAGTGCAGAAGATCTCCACACTGGTTTCAGGCTAATGAACGCCTGTCTTGCTTTTCCGATCCTGGCTGACTTTGACGTCCTCGTCCGTCCCGCCTGTAGTTTAAACAGTGCTTCCTAGATAGGTGAAGCAGGTTACTTCCTTTAAGTTTCTCCCGTTGACGGTGATTAGAGTTTGTTCTTGGTGGTGGTAGTGCGGTATCTTCATCACCTCTGTCTTCTCTATATTCACTTGAAGTCCCGTCCAGTTCATTCACAAGTGAATATGAAATGTTAGATGGAATAAATTTCTTAGATTTGAGTATTAAAAAAGAATGAAGACGATTCTATACTATACACAGAATTTATCCTAGGCTTATTTGGATCGATCAATATTTTTTTTCTATCTAATAGTTTCTATTCAATTGTTTATTATAAGAGAAGTCTAGTCAAGACTTTATTTTTAAGGCTTACCTACACTATGTTCCGATGAAGTTATCGAAGAAGAATTGGATAGTATAGGAAAAACCTTGTTACATAATCGATATCCTATGAAGTTCATTAATAAACACATTAAATCTAAAAATGAGGAACTGAATGATACAACCGTGCCAAAAAAGAACGTGTTCATTACACTACCTACTCCTTTAAAAGCGATGAATTGACTTCATAAAATAATCGTCGACTTTATGCATAGATCATACTAACTTATCCACCTGCGAACATGATCAGAGAAACTAATTTAGATAAGAGACCTTCGCATGTTACCACCTCAAATTGTATTTATTTATTCACTTGTACTTGCAATGCTATGTATGTCGGAAGAACGGAGAGGGTCTCCTTACTAAACGAATCTATGAATATGTACCGAAAAACCTGTCACTGAGAGGTGTAAATCTACCCAAGCAGCCCTATCAGCTAGTGCATGCTCCATACACGTCACGCTGTCGACTCAAACATAGCTTTCAGGGTAATTAATAGACAAAGAAATAGTAGATTGCTGTTATCCACGAGCAACAGCAGCCAGTCGTCGACTGTAACTACACTTGTGTATGCTAAAGGAGATTGTGGTTCACCTTGCATTGCTTTGGTGAGTTGTTCTCTTCCTACAGCTTTATTTACTACTTTATTCTTTCATCTTGTCTTACGTATTATTATTATTATTATTATTGTTGTTCTCGCCATTCCATTGGAATTCCTGCTACCTTGAGATGTAATCACATTCCTGTACTACTATCACATCGTATTTTGTTTTGTGTTTACGAATCGATTTTGAAGTCTGACTTGTTCACTGCATTGGTTGTTTAGATCGTGAACTTTATCATTCATCTCTGTTCTCATGTACATATCTATTAATGTTTAGGTTTAAAGAATGTATTTGGTGTTGAGTTTACTAATAAAATATATCAAATGACTTATGCTAAACAGTAGGCATCTTGAAAGGCACTACCCAGCAACGATTGAAATGACCAATTAGCTTTCTGCATTTCGGCTGGAATGTAGAAAGAAGTCCAATTGGTTATTTCAGTAGTTGTTAGGATGGCCCATTTAAAGTCACTGATAGCTTATTGTACTAAAATTTTAAATTTAGTGCGTACTATGTGGAAGATTTAGAGCACACGAAATGTGAATTCGATTCATTCTTGCTTTTCAAGAAATTAATTTATCACTCCTTCCGTGCACCAAAACATGTGTCATATAGAGTAAGATAGCAGAAGTAGATGAAAGCGGAAAAGAAAGGTAAAATGATTAGGAAACTGAAGCATTGTTTTCGATTTGATCATATGATTAGTGGATTAAGGGAAATCGAAGGCACTGATCTTATCTACTTTTATTTAATCGTGTTATGTTCTAGTTGTTTCTACCACTACTAATGCCACACTAGTTGACTCAATGAAAGGGAAAATGTCAACTGCTTCCCCTACACATTGAAAACGGATATTACACATAGGAAATTATACGAAAAATGCACAATATCTTAAAAGTGTAGGCGGCATAGTCAGAATGCCGACGAGTCAGAGCAAAAAACAGACGCTTTAACAAAACTCATCTGTTGTGATGCTCCAGTCTTGTATAAAACATTCTTATCGATCCGAACATTTTAACGTGTCATTCCCACACCATTTTTACCGTATGACTAGTAGTCTACTTTCTGCCCCCATTGTTGTAATGTAAATCGCTAATCGGTTAATCTTTACTCTCACTATGCAAATGCCTTAAAGTGAGGACAAGGTCATTTTTCATGTTATTGTATACTTATTATTATTATTAGTCCCTTGGGTTCCTAATGGAACATAGGGTTTCACTAGCACGTCTCCAGTGAACTCTGTTCTCTGAAATCTTTTCAACCTGGTTCCACGACAGTCCACAATCTCTCATTTCCTCCTCACACGATCTCCTCCATGTCACCCTCACCTAGGACGTCCAACTCGTCGCTTGCCATAGGGATTCCACTCGAGTGACTGGCCTGACGCGTGATGTCCTCAGTCGGCCTTCTCAGTGCATGCCCAATCCATCTACACCTCCTCCTTCTGCATATTTGTTAGGTGATAGGTTGTTGGCTTGTTCGTTGGCAGCCAGCCAGAGTTCCTTGTTGCTTATTGTAATTATTCTGACCATCTGAGCTTCAGTAGCGAGCCAGTGTAGGCGGCAGTTGTTGATGAATGTCTGTAGTTTATTGGAAATCCCTTTCGTAACGCGACAAGTCTCTCAACCATCACACAGAAGCACTGACTTGACTGACTTAGTGTTGAAAACCCGGATCTTGTTCCGCATGCTGAGTGCAGTGCAGAAGATCTCCACACTGGTTTCAGGCTAATGAACGCCTGTCTTGCTTTTCCGATCCTGGCTGACTTTGACGTCCTCGTCCGTCCCGCCTGTAGTTTAAACAGTGCTTCCTAGATAGGTGAAGCAGGTTACTTCCTTTAAGTTTCTCCCGTTGACGGTGATTAGAGTTTGTTCTTGGTGGTGGTAGTGCGGTATCTTCATCACCTCTGTCTTCTCTATATTCACTTGAAGTCCCGTCCAGTTCATTCACAAGTGAATATGAAATGTTAGATGGAATAAATTTCTTAGATTTGAGTATTAAAAAAGAATGAAGACGATTCTATACTATACACAGAATTTATCCTAGGCTTATTTGGATCGATCAATATTTTTTTTCTATCTAATAGTTTCTATTCAATTGTTTATTATAAGAGAAGTCTAGTCAAGACTTTATTTTTAAGGCTTACCTACACTATGTTCCGATGAAGTTATCGAAGAAGAATTGGATAGTATAGGAAAAACCTTGTTACATAATCGATATCCTATGAAGTTCATTAATAAACACATTAAATCTAAAAATGAGGAACTGAATGATACAACCGTGCCAAAAAAGAACGTGTTCATTACACTACCTACTCCTTTAAAAGCGATGAATTGACTTCATAAAATAATCGTCGACTTTATGCATAGATCATACTAACTTATCCACCTGCGAACATGATCAGAGAAACT